ACCACACTGGCTCTCTGGGGAGAAGGACAGGTGTTAGCAAGGCACAGCAAACAGCAGGGCTTTCACCACCACACCACACCCCCCCATACGCCTTGTTGGACACTTCTTGTGGAATCAGAAGGACATAACACAATAAGAGCCTTCCCAGGCCAGGCCAATGGCCCATTGAGTCCAACATCTTGTTCTTACAGCGGCCAGAAACCCACAAGGTGCAACAGAGCAGTTCTCCACTCCATCTTCAGTGGAGGTAGAAAAGGCTCATTCTCAAAGTCCACCCTCCATAATTAAAACAACACAACAAGATGGAAGAAGTAAAAAAATATTGAGATCACACATGGGTGAAGGGGAGTGGGGGGTATAGGGGAACTTATAAAAAATTCTAATATACTATTTCTAATTGTGCTGCATTTATATACAGCAAAGGGAAGTCTAGCAATAGGTATATTTTAATTTAGTCAGCTATGTAATAGGCTTATGTTACAAAACGAATATGGATTTGAATTTGATGTTTGTAATTCTTTTTCGGTTTTGGAATAAAGTTTAAAAAAAGAAGTCCACCCTCCATGTTTCTCCTCTGCTCAGTTTTGACACCCCCTTGGCACCCCTCTGCTCTCAGATCTTTTCGGTGACTTTTTCTGAGCTCGTGATCTGCAAGGCCCACATTCTTGGAATACCATAAGAGTGGCTCACTCTACTGCTTTGCTCTTGACCCCAGGATCTGTCTCAACCCCTGGCACTGTTAACAGAAGCCCACGTTCACATTTCAAGCTGTTTTTTTTTTTTGTTGTTGTTGTCAGATCCATCCTTAGATAAACATTGAGATTTAGATAAACAGCCTCTTCCTAGTTTTGAAACTCCATCTCCAGGAATCATTGATTCCACTCATTCTGAAAATCTACCCCTGCCCTGTCTGGGTTTTCGTGGGGATGGGCAAATCGATCAATTGCAGTTACTCATTTTTTAAAAAAACGCTCTTAAATTCACTTCTCAACATTTCTGCAGTAAATTGCAATTTTTAAAAAATCCTTGCGAAAATTTGTTCTAGTGCAGATTTCCCATAATTACTTCTTGCACGCAGTTTTAGCTAAGATGCAAAATTTCGCAAGCAATTTCCCCTCAACACAATGCATTTCTGTACGTAATTTGCAGTAACATTTTTTCGCACACTTCCCTGAACATAAACGTGTTTGCACCAGTTGTTTGTTTGGTGAACTGCATCACAAAATTCTGAAAAGCGTGAACTCTGAAGTTTAGCTATGTTTCGGTTTGCGTATTGGTGCAGAAGTGTGAATTGCCGATCTTCTCACTGGAGTGCGGAAGGAACCAAATTCCTCCCCCCCCCCAGTTCGCAGCCCCCATTTCTGCCGCCTGAGTGCAGCCCTGTTCTTTCTCACCAAGCAGAGTGCCCACGCAGGCGAGGATGGCAAGAAGGGCACCCGTGCTGAGGCCTGCCGGGGAGCCCAGGGCCTCGGCCCCGCAGGAGTGCATGGCCCCATCGCGCCGACACCGGCAGATGCTGACGGTCAGGGTGGGGGAGCCTGTGCGGGTGGGGGAGCCCCCGTCCACCAGTTCCAGCGGCACCAGCAGGGACCCGCCTTGGGTGGGCAGGCGGGCGGCACGAAGTAGCAAGGAGGCAGAGTTATCTGGAGGGAGAAGATGAAAGGCGGTTAGGGGAACAAACTTATAGACCGCAGCATAAAGCGGTGTTAAGACTCACACACACACAGAGAGAGAGAGAGAGAGAGAGCGCTCTGAAAATCATAATATCTATCAACAAAGCCTTCAAAACATGTACGAGGCCACCCTACAAACATCAGAAACAAAGCAATTTTCTCAGCTATAAAATTGATATTCCATAAATATTGGGGTAACCCCTTGGGGAAAGCGCTCCTAAACAAAAATGGATTCAGTAGGCACCTAAGCATTCTCGGCACTTTAGGCGATGGTCTTATTTCAGCTGGTAATTGATCCCAGAGAGCTGGAGCCTGCAAACACTAAAAGCCTAGTTTGTACAACAGGCTAAGCACACAACTCTCTGCAACTCCCCATCTGAGAAGCGCAGTTGCTAGGCAGTGGGGTCCCTCAGATATACAGTTGGTACGTCGGGTTACATACGCTTCAGGTTACATACGCTTCAGGTTACAGACTCCGCTAACACAGAAATAGTACCTCGGGTTAAGAACTTTGCTTCAGGATGAGAACAGAAATCGTGCAGCAGCAGCAGCGCGGCAGCAGCAGGAGGCCCCATTAGCTAAAGTGGTGCTTCAGGTTAAGAACAGTTTTCAGGTTAAGTACGGACCTCCGGAATGAATGAAGTACTTAACCCGAGGTACCACTGTACTGGTCTCAAGTTAGAACCACAGAACTGTAGAGTTCGAAGGGACCCCAGGGGTCATGTAGTCCAAGCCCCTGCAGTGCAGGAACTGCAGTCAAGTTGCTTAGGGCTTTAAATGCCGAAAGGCAAATCTTGAACTGCGCCCGTGTTGGCAGCCTGTGCGGCAGAGGTGTCGATGGGATGCCTGGGTCAACCTAGTTGCTGTATCCTGCGCCAGCTGCCCCTTCGAGGGAAAGCCCCCACATAGAGACCACGTTGTGGAAATCCAGGCTTGAGGTTCTCAGCGCCAAAGTCACGGCAGCCAAGCTATGTCAGTCGAGGAGCAGCTGCAACCAAAATGTGGTCAAAGGCACTCCTAGACTTTGGCTAATGAAACAATCTATGGTCTTTGAAGCCGTGTGTCAAGGTTATCATTTCCCTTTGTTGTTATGGTATGTTTTTTGTGTGTTTTCATATTGCAGACTGCCCTGTGGTCCTCGGACGAAGGGTGGTACAGAAATTTAATTAGCGACAAACAACAACCGTAACAGCTACTGGTGCCATCTGTGCCTTGAGTGACAAAGATGGATCCAGCGCAAGCCCCAGGCTATGTACCTGTTCCTTCCTTTACTGTCCGCAACAGGTAACTGAACTACGCCCTGGACGTGGGCAGCACTCGCACACAGGGCCTCTGTCTTTCCAGGGTTTAAGCTCCGTTTGTTGGCACTCATCCAGCCCTCCACTGTGGCCAGATGGTGGTTCAGAGCCTGCCTGGCCATTCTCAATTCAGAGCTACATACTGTAGGTACCAATCGCCTGAGGAGCATTCCTAAGGGTTTCATATGCTAAGTAGCATTAGGGGGGAAAGGGTGCCCCACAGCACCCCAAAACATAGATGCCAAGGCTGAGGAACATTTTCTCCAATGCTACTCTCCGGAGATGATCCTGCAGGGGGAGACTGGAACCATTGTAAAGCAGTGCCCCTAACACCCATCCCACAGAGAGGACGCCACGGTTGATGGTGTGTCAAAAGCCACAGAGAGATCAAGAAAAAGAAGCAAGGTTGCAGTCCCCTTTTCCCTCTCCTGGAAGAGCTCAAGGCCAATTCAGACCTGAAACCATTCTGAAATGAGTCGAGATCTGTGGTTCCCAAACCACCACCCCGCTCCTTGGTTCCATAAACTCATGCCCAATGTCCCCTGCCCTACAAAAAGCACCATTCAGAATAGCAGTCGGCACGACCCACTAAGGAAGATAATAACACAATAAAATTAAACAGTAACGATTCATTGCACATGTATTCAAAATCCAATTAAAACTATTTAGTTTAATTAATTCAGCAAAGTTGATGAAGTAGATCCAGGGATACCAGCATTTCAAGGTCTGATTGTCATTTACACCTCCAGCTGCCACCACCACCACCAACCAGCCCCCCAGCCCTTGCCTCTTAGCGCACCCCCCTCCCTAGGTTATCCCACTACCTCCCAGGCCACTGGACTAGATGACCAGCTTTATCTGAGATTGCCTGCCAACCGCCTGGGACGTTTCAAAAAAGCCACACCTGAGAGCAATCCCTCACCCTTGTTGTCTCGCACAGTGACGTTCGGGTCCCTGGCCCCAAGCGGGGAGCGGATTATGATGCGGCTCACGTTCCCGTCCTCGTCTCGATCCACCGCTCGGATCAGCTGCACCAACTAGCGGGAGAAGGGGAAAGGAAAGGGGTGACGGAGCCAAGCTGCGACCCAAAGCTGTCAACTTTCCCCTTTTTTAAAGGGAAATTCCCTTATTCCAAATAGGATTCCTTGCAAGAAAAGGGAAAAGTTGACAGCTATGCTGCAACCTCCTCGCCTGGCTCCATCTATCCCCCCTCCCAGTTTTATTTATTTATTAACATTCTTACATTACATTGGTAAACATTGTCATATTACATTACAGAGCTTATTATAATATATTTCCCAACATGCATACCGAGATTATATACAAATCTTATATATCTGAAAAAAGAAAAGAAAAACAAAGGGAAAAAACAAAGACAATCCCCCCCCCAAATCATATACCTACCAACACATTGGACTACATGTCTATCCCGTTGTATATTCCTTTTTTTACAAATGAATGTACTCATATTACTGTATATTTCTTTTAAATTTTATCTAGTACATTCCTATAACAATATGTGCCGCCTAGCTCCACCCCAATAGCCAAACCGGTGGGCGTTATTACCCGTAGCATGTCCCAGGTAGCACTTACGTGGCCGGGGGCTGCATTGTCACAGACAAACGGCTCATAGCTGTGCTCCAGCTGGGGCGGGTTGTCGTTGACATCCAGAATCTGGATGGCCACTTGGACGTGGGAGGCCTGTGTGGGGCTGTCTGGGGGCAAGAGCGGGGGGATGGGGAGAAGCACACAGCCCACACACAGCGTGAGGCGGCCGAGGAAAAGCCACGTGGGACGTGCCGGGAATGGAATGCAGGCAACACGGAGGGGCACGCAACGGGCAATTCACCAGGATCCCCCAAATTAAAAAATGTTAAAGTTGCAAAAGGGGGAAAGCCGTACAGATCAGCCGCCCCAGGCCAGGGCAGTTCCATGTGACAAGTGTGCATATGAAGCCATAGGATCAGGCGCAGTCCACATCAGACAGATTACAGCAGGCAAAGAGGGGGCATAGGAGCGCATGCCAGGCGGACCATAAGGTGGGGTAGTTAGGAGGTTGCGCAAAAATGAACACAAGGCAGGTACACAGAAATTGGCACCCATGCGAATGCAGCATTTTAGAGCACACACACACAGCCCCATAAGATCCAAGGAGAGGGAGAGGCCAGCGCATGGTGTGCCGCGTTTACACAGGGGTAAGGAGATGCATGCAATCAAGCAGCAACATTGCGCCCAGCGTATACAACCATGCAAAAACGAGGGAGCCACAGCGAGGCGTGCAGGCCACAGAATTGGCACGCAGAGAAGTGCGCCGCCGCCACGCCAGACGTGCGCGGTGATCACGACAAGCAAGGAGCCACACGGGACAAAGATGGCAGAAAGGAGCAAAGTGCGTGAGGCAGGTGGCGCAAAGGAGGAAGTGCATCCCAAGCAGGCAGCCGCGGCAGCCGCATGCAAAACGATGCACGGAGAGAGAAAGAAAGCAAGAGAGACAATGAGTAAATATTTGCCCATTGGGAAATAGGCGTATATACTGCACACTGCAGAATAAAAGCATTTGTTGCGAAATGAATACCCCAAAACCCTGCCACCGCATCCCAGAGCCACCCACCTGGCCCTCCCCAAACCCACCTGTCCCTTACCAAGTTCCGTTGCCACCACGGTCATGTTGTGCCAGGGCAAGAGCTCCCGGTCGAGAGGCACAGAGGTCAGGATGGTCCCGTCCTGAGGGTTGATGCTGAAATAGCGCTCGGGGTCCGTGTGCGGCAGGATGGAGTATCTAGAAGATGGGGGGGAACCTGGGGCATCAGGTTGTCGTGGCAACCAGGTACAAACGGAGCAACTGTAACTTTCACACACAAGGCAGACAGATGCTAATCCGCACAGTCCCCACCCCACCCCTGCTCCTGCGCCCCCCCGCTTGCCGTTACCGGATGGCGCTGCTGGGGAGTCGAGGTCCACGGCTGTCACCTTGCCCAGCAGGGTCCCCGGGGGGCTGTTCTCGTAGACGGCGAGGTGGTAGTCGGAGCGGGAGAAGGCCGGGGGCTCGTCGGCGTCCTCCACCGTGATGCGGACGGTGGCCATGTCCTTGAAGGGGCCTTTGCGGATGTACTGGGGGTCAATGAGCGTGTTGGTGGCTTCCACGCGGAAGGTGTACGAGTGGCGCGATTCGAAGTCGAGGGGCTGCGGGAGGATATGGGCAAGTTAGAGGGGGAACCGGAGGGAAAGAGGGAGGGGAGCTCTATGGGACGGGGAAACCCATGTCAAAAGACGGCAATGGGGATGCTTGCGGAAGCGGAATAGTGACGGTCAGGGTCACTTCTTAGCGTGGGTCAGGGAAATAAGAAAAGCAGGCCGTGAAGCTACAACTCAGGTGCAAGGCTGGAAGCCTCTGTCAGTCGTCGTCTACTGAGTATTCAGTATCGCTCAGTCCAGGCTGACAGTTTAGCAGCCAGTTCCAGGTCTCATCAAACCCACTTTCCTGAGCATCCTTTTGGTGACCACATTTGCTGGGACATTAGGACTTATTCCGCTGCTTAGTTTAAAGGACATCAGAACATAAAAGTGGTCTGCTGGCTCAGGACTGCGCTACCTCAAGGGCCGCCTCTTTCTATATTAACCTACCCGGACCCTGAGATCACCTTCTGAGCCCCTCCTTCATGTGTCTCCAAAGGGTGGCAACACGAGAACGGGGCCTTCTCTGCAGTGGCTCCCCATCTGTGAAATGCTCTCCCCAGCGAAATTCACCTGGCACCTTTAGGCGCCAGGCAAAAACGTTCCTTTCTAACCAGGCCTTTGACCTGATTGGCATAATATACCTTTTTAAAATGTGACTCTTTTGAGGGGGGTGTTATTGTTCTTATTTTGATTTTATATATTGGGATCTTTTCTGTGAACTGCCCTGAGACCTCTGGGAATAGGGTGGTATATAAATTCAAAAAATAAAATCATCATCATCATCATCAGTGGTCTTCCCCTCCATGAACTAGTCGAATTCTTCAGAACCCACAGCTCCCATCTTTTGCTGCCTGCGGGGCAAATGGAGGGGTGGTCCCTGGGAGGAAGGAAGGAGGATCATAGCCCCCCTAATTCCAAGGTACCCCCAGACTGGGGGTGCCTCCACCAACCTTTTTCACTGTGATGATCCCGTCCTGTCCCAGCGCATCGGTGTGGATAGCGAAGGCTTCGGCCCCGTCTCCTCCGTCCAGAATGCTGTAGGCCAGCAGAGCATTCTCCCCTTCGTCGGGGTCGTGCGCTCGCAACCGCCCCACAGCAGAGCCAGGAGGTGCAGTCTCTACCACGGAAAACTGGTAGGAGCCTGAGGGATGGGATGGGAAGGAAGTGCAGGGAAACAGGCGTGTGTATGCAAGAGAATGGGCGGCAGCCAACAAAGCAAGGACTTTTGGCTAACCAGCAGAACCTTCCCACTCCTCTCCCTCTATGTCCCCCTAAATCTATCTATCTATCTATTTCTATCTATCTATCTATCTATCTATCTATCTATTATCTATCTGTAGCCAGGGCAGCTGTTTACCAGCTCCATCTGGTACGTAGGCTGAGACCCTATCTGCCTGCAGACTGTCTCGCCAGAGTGGTGCATGCTCTGGTTATCTCCCTCTTGGACTACTGCAATGCGCTCTACGTGGGGCTACCTTTGAAGGTGACCCGGAAACTACAACTAATCCAGAATGCGGCAGCTAGACCGGTGACTGGGAGCGGCTGCCGAGACCATATAACACCGGTCTTGAAAGACCTACATTGGCTCCCAGTACGTTTCCGAGCACAATTCAAAGTGTTGGTGCTGACCTTTAAAGCCCTAAACGGCCTTGGTCCAGTATATCTGAAGGAGCGTCTCCACCCCCATCGTTCTGCCCGGACACTGAGGTCCAGTTCTGAGGGCCTTCTGGCGGTTCCCTCACTGCGAGAGGCCAAGTTACAGGGAACCAGGCAGAGTGCCTTCTCGGTAGTGGCGCCCGCCCTGTGGAACGCCCTCCCATCAGATGTCAAAGCGATAAGCATCTACCTGACATTCAGAAGACATCTGAAGGCAGCCCTGTTCAGGGAAGTTTTTAATATGTGACATTTTAGTGTATCTTTCATCTTTGTTGGAAGCCGCCCAGAGTGGCTGGGGAAACCCAGCCAGATGGGCGGAGTACAAATAATAAATTATTATTATTATTATTATTATTATTATTATTATTATTATTATTATCTATCATCTATCTATCTATCTATCTATCTATCTATCTATCTATCTATCTATCTATCATCTATCATCTATCTATCTATCTATCTATCTATCTATCTATCTATCTATCTATCTATTATTATTATTATTATTATTATATTTTCTGTTTTACAGTTTAAATACTCATTTAAACATCCTTAAAACATCAATAACTTCCCTTCTTCTCTTTCCACGGTTCATTTTGCATATCATAAATCCCTGCTTATTTTACAGAAACTAAACCACTCAGTATCCCATTATTACATCCGTGAAAACTTACTCACACAGTTGAATTTATCTTAAGGCTGCCAAAGTTTTCAAGTGTACACAATTTGCCCCCATATATTCAATAAACATTTTCCATTCTTCTCTAAACGTATGTTCTTGTTCTCTTATTCTATATGTTAAGTCTGCAAGCTGCGCATATTCTGTCAGCTTAAGTTGCCACTGTTCTTTAGCTGGGAACTCACTCGTTTTCCATTTTTGGGCTAACAAAACACAGGCCGCAGTAGTAGCATGCATAAATAACCTTTTTTGACACCTGGGAGTCTGAATTATCCCCAACAAAAAGGACTCTGGTGTGTGTGTGTGTTTTGGGAAAAGTACTTTTAAACATTTTTTTCAATTCATTATGGATCATTTCCCAATACTCTTTTACCCTTTTACAAGTCCACCACATGTGAAAGAACGTTCCCTCAACCTCTTTGCATCTCCAGCACCCTAAATCCTAAGGGCTGCGCAAACCTTTCAGAGTGAATGTGGGGACAGGCGACAGAGGGCGATTTCTGTTGCATGAGCATAAATCCTTGCAGTAGCAGAAGCAGGCTCTGTACACAGCCCACATTGAAAGCACATCTCTCCCTGCCTCAGAGGATCCTGGTAACTGTAATTTACTTCCCACAGAGCTGCATTTACCAGCACCCTTAAACTACAGTTCCCAGGATTTTGTGTGTGTGCGTGTGCTTTAAATGTACACAGCAATTCTCTGTTGAAGACTACCCAATCATAGAGTCATGGAATCATAGAATTGTAGGGACACCCAGGGGCCATCTAGTCCAACCCCCCTGCAATGCAGGAATCTCAGCTAAAGCATCCATGACAGACAGACGGTCCTGTAGAACTGAAGGAGCGTCTCCACCCCCATCATCCCCCATCATCCAGCCTGGACACTGAGGTCCAGCGCCGAGGGCCTTCTGGCAGTTCCCTCGCTGCGAGAAGTGAGATTACAGGGAACCAGGCAGAAGGCCTTCTCGGTGGTGGCGCTCACCCTGTAGAACGCCCTCCCAGCAGATGTCAAGGCAATAAACAACTATTTTACTTTTAAAAGACAACTGAAGGCGGCCCGGTTTGGGGAAGTTTTTAATGTCTGATGCTGTATTGTTTTTAATATTTGGTTGGAAGCCGCCCAGAGTGGCTGGGGAAACCCAGCCAGATGGGCGGGGTACAAATAATATATTATTATTATTATTATTATTATTATTATTATTATTGCCATCCAACCTCTGCTTGAAAACCTCTAAGAAAGGAGAGTCTGCAACCTCCCAAGGGAGACCGTTCCACTATCAAACAGCTCTTATTGACAGAAAGCACTTCCTGATGTTGAGTCGGAATGTCCTTTCCTGTCACTTGAATTCATTGCTTCAATGTGCCGCCTCTGACTTGAGTCATTTTAACCCCCCACCCACCCCATATACACACTACAAAGTGATTCAGACTGTGTTAAGCACACACTGTACCCTGAAAGCACATTCGAAGCACATTCCCCTCCCTCTAAGAATTCTGGGCAGTGCAGTTTACCCCTCACTGAGTTACACTTCCCAGCAGCCCTTGACAAACTACAGCACCCAGAATTCTTTGAGGGCAATGTGCTTTGAATGTGCTTTAAAGGTACAGTGTGCACACCTTTGCTGTGCTCCAAGCAGCCCCGCTCAGTCCTCTGCCCCGCTAAACTGGGACTACGTGAGAAGCAGGAAAGGGTGAGTGGACTACCATGAACAGACCGGCCGGATTTCATTATTCAAGAAACGTAGTCTCCTTTCCTGATCTTCCTTCTCCCCTACGACTTCACACATCATGAATATGAAAGGAAGACATTGCAACATCCTGCATTAATTCATAATCACGCTCTTAAAACATTTACAGTATTTGTTCGCCTGTTACATATTTTTCAACAATCGTTAGCGTCAAGGATAACGTAACGTCTGAGGATGTCGCAGGTTTCCTTGTGAGCGCACGAGCCGCGTTTCTATGTGCTTTACTGTTTTGTGTGTGGTTACATTAAAAAACGTTTAATATGCTAGGCTCTGAGGCTAAACCGTAAACAAAACATCCAATTAGATTGCAAAACCTGTCCCAGAAATATCTTGCCTCTCCTTAACAAAGTTAAGAACCAAGCAAGACAATTTTGCTGGTAGACAGCTCAGATCCAACGTTTTTGATTAGCAAGACCTTAATTCTGAGCTGGTCCCATCACTTCCTGGCAAATAGAAGGGGAAGAAATGGAGGCAATGAGAGATTTTACTTTCTTGGGCTCCATGATCACTGCAGGTGGTGATAGCGGCCACGAAATTAAAAGACGCCTGCTTCTTGGGAGAAAAGCAATGACAAACCTAGACAGCATCTTAAAAAGCAGAGACATCACCTTGCCAACAAAGGTCCGTATAGTTAAAGCCATGGTTTTCCCAGTAGTTACGTATGGAAGTGAGAGCTGGACCATAAAGAAGGCTGATCGCCAAAGAATGGATGCTTTTGAATTATGGTGCTGGAGGAGACTCTTGAGAGTCCCATGGACTGCAAGAAGATCAAACCTATCTATTCTTAAGGAAATCAGCCCTGAGTGTTCACTGGAAGGACAGATCATGAAGCCAAGGCTCCAATACTTTGGCCACCTCATAAGAAGAGAAGACTCCCTGGAAAAGACCCTGATGTTGGGAAAGATGGAGGGCACAAGGCGAAGGGGACGACAGAGGACGAGATGGTTGGATAGTGTTCTCGAAGCTACCAGCATGAGTTTGACCAAACTGCGGGAGGCAGTGAAAGGCAGGAGTGCCTGGCGTGCTCTGGTCCAGGGGGTCACGAAGAGTCGGACACGACTAAACGACTACACAACAACAACAACAACAATGTTCTGAGCTATCTAGCGGCCCAGATTTAGTAAACTAACATGGAAACGAAAAAGTGGCTAGGGAGGCTAGGAATTGTTGCTTTCTTTTGTGGGTTTTCCTTTGCTTTACTTTGCAAACTCAGGTCCAATCCCATCTTTCTATTAAAATCTGAAGTTTCTGGTCAACCTCTAAAATCCTCTGTTCCCCCAATAAAGTGGCAGGCATGTCCTGTCCACAGCCTCCCCCACACCAGCCTTTCTGCCCTGCACATGAAAATACGGCCACATCCATGGAAAGAACCAAGGTCTGTTGCTGACTACCCCTTCCCAACTTACTCTGAGGGAAGCGAGGCGGGTTATCGTTGACATCGCTCAGTGTGACAGTGACGGTCGTGCTTCCTGAGAGACCCCCGGCGTGGCCCCCCATGTCCTTGGCCTGAACCACAACAAGGAATTCTTGCTGGGTTTCCCGGTCCATGTTGGGGGTCGCTGTCCGGATCACACCTAAAACGCAGGAGGAAGAAGGAGAAGTATCAGAGAGAGAGAGTGGCAAAAGGAGCAGTGGGTGAAGGACCAGATAGATAGATAGATAGACAGATAGATAGATAGATAGATAGATGATAGATAATAGATAGATGATGATGATAGATAGATGATAGATGATAGATAGATAGATAGATAGATAGATAGATAGATGATAGATAGATGATAGATAGATAGATAGATAGATAGATAGATAGATTCCCACCCTGCAAATTTCCCTTCCATCATCTCAATTAGCTCCACCTAAAGGGAAGGAAGTGTTATGTATCAGTGGTCTGTGTTTGCCTGAGCTTGAGTCTGGACTAAGGATTCTGAGCTCCTGTGTTCTGATTCAATACATGTTGTCCAATCGCAGAACATTACAGGATTTGGGCCTCTGCCATTGGCCCTTCAACTCTGAGCCGTGATTGCAGTTTGGAAGTTTAGACAGCCAATCACGTTAGGAGTGGGAGTGGCCCAGGCTTTCAGAAATGTATATAGGCAGTTGCTTTGCCTCTGTTTCCCAGCAATGTAGTTCAATAAAGGTTCTTGCTGTTATCACTGTGTCTTGCCTTGTGGGAACCCACCTACACTTCACTGGCGACGAGGATGGGATGCTAGGCTAGGTACGCAGCCCTGGCTAGCTTCCACAAGCTGAAATCACTGCTGAGCTGAAATGGCTGACTGCAGCCACAAGGCAGATCACACAGAGCAGATGTCATGGGCACCCAGGGCCACACACCTACACTTCAGGAAGAGACAGGTGAAGCCAAGCAGGGCTGGTCAGAGTCACTGGGTAGAGGCACTATGATCTGGATGAATGTAAAGACAGGTGGCCGACCCAACAGATTCAGAGGTTGTTGTTCACGTGACCATGAAGCTAAACAAACGGATGGAGGGTTTGGTTGATGAGATGAGTCACTGTGGTTGGATAGACTTGCAGAGAAGAAGGCGGCAACTCAGAGGCTGCATGACAGCACCTTTAAACCTCCCCTATGGCGCGCGCGCGGCGCGCACACACACACACACACACACACACACACTTGCATAGGCTTGGATTTGAGGGCCGGTCTATGAGCCCCTCCAGATTTTGGAGAGTGGTGTGTGTTGCAGGTGTACTCTGTAATGCATCACTGATGCAATAATAGTGCCTCAGTAAAGGATTTATACTAGACTGTCCATGCACCATCCTGTGTTATTCTGCGATGCTTCCCCAATGTTATTTCTTTCTGGAGGGGAGCTCCTGTGCAGCAGCAAGACAAAAGGGTAGTAAAAAAACAAACCCACTAATAGGGCATTGGTGGTATGTAAAGCTACAGGATTTCGGCAGGAAGTTACAGGGCATGCGCTGGTTGGAAGCGAGGCAGGGCGTCAGCCCAAAATATTTGCAGGTGCACACAGTATTGAAATAACAAACGGCCAATAAAAATAACATCTGTAAGGGGCTCTATCATTCCCAAGCATTAAAACCTGGCCTATTGCAGTCTTTCCCTACCTGGCAGCCTCCAAATATGGAGGGCATGGTTGTGCAGTTCAAAACATCTGGAGGATGCCCAGTGGAGAAAGGGTGGCCTATTAATAACCAGTTTTTCCAAAATGCAAGGAAGGGAGTGTCACACTCCCCGCTGAAGAAGCTTTCTCCATCATCAGCTCTGATGACCATCTCTGTGATTCCAAGCCAATCTGCCATTCCCATAGCTGTCAACTTGCAGATTTGAGAATAAGGGACCAGCAGCCTCGAAAATAAAGGATCAGCAGCCAAAATAAGGGATTTTCCGGGCACAGGTATGTTCAACTTCTGAGCCCCTCTGAGCCAAAGGCAGAAAGCCCAGCCAGCAGCCAAATGAAGCCTCATCAATAAGGGACAGCAGCGGGACATGGCGCTGGGATAAGGGACTGTCCCGCCAAAGAAGGGACACTTGACAGTTATGCATTCCACGGCATATCACAAATCCGCCAACTTGCCCCAGTCCCCAAGAGCTCACAACAATGGCCTCTTGCCGCATTCTTCCCTTCGCAATGGGGCGACACTGGTACCATCGCCCTTCCACCCCCAAACCTGCCCCCCTCCTCCCCGTTGTGTACCCGTCTGGGGGTCGACGGAGAAGAATGGCAACCCCTCGAGTACCGTATAGACCAGCCTGGCACTGTTCCCATAGGCCGGGTCGTCCGCATCGTGGGCCGTCACCTGAATCACGGACGTACCTGCAGAAACGGGGCAGATTAACAGAAAAAAGAAAAACCAAACACACAGGTTATTGAGGATGCTGGTTGCGAGAGTCCACAGGTCAGAGTTCAAGAAGGGTCTTGTTGGCACAGAGAACTAGTTTCCGTCTTGGCCATAGTGCTGCTATTTTGTCGGTATTTAGGTACCATAAATAAGTTTTTAAAAAATATAAAAATAAGGAAGACCACCTGCACTACCTGCCAGGCTTACGTTTTAAAAATTGCTCACAAGAGCCCCCCAGGGAGGCAAACAGCATCTTAAAACAGCCATAAAAATCCAACATGTATTCTCCATTAAGAGCAAACTGTGAAATGCCAAAATAACAATATAAAAAAGCAGCATCTCCAAACAGAATGCTAGATGAGAACTCCTCCAAGCCTCTTCACAAGAGTCCTGCTTGCAGACGCAAGGCTCTGGCAGGCTGCAGCGTGGTTGCTGTCGTTCCCAATCCCGCAACCCTGAAAAGTTACTATTAAATCATCAAAAGTACCTGTCTCCACCCTCCTCCCAAAGTACTCACCCCATAAAGGGAGGCTCCCTGCTGTGTCTCTGTATGATTCACCACCCTGGCCCTGTCTCGTTCTACTCAGCCTCCGCAGGGGAATAGGTAATTTCGGCTGTGAGCCAGCATGGGGTGTGACTCGAGCGTTCAATCAGGCCCAATAAAGAGGCACAGGCTGTGCACACACTTTGCCTTCAAAGCCCATTCTTTCACCTCAAAGAATTCTGGGAACCGCAGCTCACCCCTCACAGAACTACAGTTCCCAGCAACCCTTAAGAAACTACAGTGCCCATAATTCTTTGGGGGAAAGAATGTCCTTCAGATGTGCTTTAAAGGAACAGCGTGTACGCAGCCATAGTGGATTTGCCTGCCCTGAGAAGAGGCTACACCAGGCTTCCTCAAACGTGGCCCTCCAGATGTTTTTGGCCTACAACTCCCATGATCCCTAGCTAGCAGGACCAGTGGTCAGGGATGATGGGAATTGTAGTCTCAAAATATCTGGAGTGCCAAGTTTGAGGAAGCCTGGGCTACATGTTACCTCCCTTTGTGAGTCGCAGGCCTCGTCTGCTTCCAGTTAGGAGGCACGCCGAGATCAACAACTCCTGCAGAAACACAGAGGGGGTAGATCAGCTCTGGATCCATTCCAGTCCGGCTTCCGCGCTGGTCATGGGACCGAGACGGCTCTGGTCGCCCTAACAGATGATCTCCGCAGGCAGCTGGATTGAGGCGGGTCGGGGCTGCTGATTCTTCTAGACCTGTCAGCAGCCTTCGACATGGTCGATCACGAACTCCTGGACCACCGCCTTGCCGATGTGGGGATCCAGGGCACAGTCCTTCAATGGCTGCGCTCGTTTCTCTCTGGTCGGGGACAGAGGGTGGCGCTTGGGGGGGGGAATTGTCATCGCGCCACTCCTTGGTGTGTGGAGTGCCTCAGGGTGCGATTCTCTCCCCGATACTTTTTAACATCTTTATGCGCCCCCTCGCCCAGCTTGTCCGGAGTTTGGGCTGGGTTGTCATCAATATGCCGATGACACCCAACTCTATCTGTTGATGGACGGCCATCCTGACTCGGCCCCAGATACACTGACCAGATGTCTGGAAGCTGTGGCTGGATGGTTACGTGGGAGCCGGTTGAAGTTAAACCCTTCGAAGACAGAGGTCCTCTGGCTGGGACGGAGCGATATGGGATTGAGGGGGCAACTCCATAGAGGGAGGTATCGAAGATTACACCCAAACTCTTAATGGACGATGCTGGCACTAATTGCACCCCCGCAAGAGATGGGAGTTGCCCCCTCAATCCCAAAGGGATTGCCCTTGAGACTGACCCAGAAACTCCAGCGGGTGCAGAATGCCGCGGCGAGACTCCTTATGGGGTCTTCGCTGCGAGATCATATCCATCCGGTGCTATACCAGCTGCACTGGCTCCCGGTGGAGTACAGGATCAGGTTTAAGGTGCTGGTTTTAACCTTTAAAGCCCTATACGGCCTAGGACCCTCGTACCTACGGGACCGCCTCTCCTGGTATGTCCCACAGAGAAATTTACGGTCTGCAAATAAAAACATCTTGAAGATCCCAGGCCATAGAGAGGTTAGGCTGGCCTCAACTAGAGCCAGGGCCTTCTCGGCCGTGGCTCCAATCTGGTGGAACGCTCTGTCACAAGAGACTAGGGCCCTGACATCCTTCCGCAGGACCTGCAAGACAGAGCTGTTCCACCAGGCCTTTGGTCAGGGCGCAGCCTGACCCCCTCCTCTGGCAATCGGCATTCTGCACAGAATTTTGCTTGATGGTTGCCATTAATTTGATTTTAATTTGATTTAATTAATTTTATAATGAATGTTTTTAGAATGTCGGATTACTTTGATTGTTGTTAGCCGCCCTGAGCCCAGCTTCGGCTGGGGAGGGCGGGATATAAATAAAAATTATTATTATTATTATTATTATTATTATTATTATTATATTTATTTGAGGCTGGGCAGTTCGTCCACTTAACATACGAAAAGTCAACATGCGCTTCTGACTTTTGATTTGGAAGAGAAGTGGAACATGGGAACTCATGGACCTCCAAGGACGCTGAATGATGGAAGATTCAGGATATACAGTGGTACCTCGGGTTACAGATGCTTCAGGTTACAGACTCCGCTAACCCAGAAATAGTACCTCGGGTTAAGAACTTAGCTTCAGGATGAGAATCAGAAATCGTGCGGCGGCAGCGGGAGGCCCCGTTAGCTAAAGTGGTACCTCAGGTTAAGAACACACCCGGAACAAATTAAGTACTTATCGTGAGGTACCACTATTATATAAAAGAAAGAACTTCTTCGTGGAACTCTCTCCCCCAGGAAGCAATGATGGCCACCAACTCAGACGGCTTTAAAAGAGGATTGGACAATTCATGGAGGAGAGGGCTATCAATGGCTACCAGCCTCAAGGAGGGTCAGGCCCTGCAGGACTTTGGTGGGCATGGTGTGCTTCAAGCTTGGTTCTGATTTGAATCATCATCTGGGGATGCCATTCACACACTTAAAAGCACACAGGGCCAACCCAAGAAATTTGGTTGGCTCAGGAGGCCATCTAGAATAGCTCCCGCAATTTCACCTCAAACTCTTCGCCTGTGTTCTCTGTGAGCCTGGAACAGGAGGAATTGGAGCACCCAGCAAAATGGGCAATCTCCCTCCATAATGTCCCCCCGAGGAAGAAACAGGAAGGGGAGGAACTACCCTGGTCCCTGGTCCCAACACGGGCATGCTGGAGGCAACAGCGCATGGCCTGCCATATTTACAGAAGGCTAACCCCATACCTGTGGGAAGCTCGCCACGCAGTGGCGTTGAGCTGTTCATGTTCTTACGTCCAGCCCAGAGGGTGACCCCACCTGTGAGCTTCCTCTGCCTCCTTATTCTCTGTGTTGCCCCTTGTAGGACTCAGGAAGGATTCATGTAGGTAGGACTCATGCTCTGCGTTATGATACCAGTCATGGCTTCTCCCAAGAAATTCTGGGAACTTTGGTTTGCTAAGAGTCCGGAGAGTCGTTAGAAGACTCTCTCCCCCATAAGCAACACTTCCCCGAGTGGTTTACCGATCTCAAGGCCTCTTCCAGGGAACTCTGGGAATTGTAGCTCCGTGAGGGGAATAAGCGCCTCCTAACAGCTCTCGGCACTCTTAAGAAACTACAGCTCCCAGAATTCTCTGGGGGAAGCCATGACTGCTTAAAGCAGCATCACAGCACTTTAGGGCGTGGAGGAGGCCTTAAGATTGGCTCTGCCTCCTGATGTTTTCCAGCCCAAAGAGTGCCAGCTGCAGCAGGGAAGGGAAGAAGATCTCCCAGGGTGGGAGACAGGGAGAAGAAAGGAAAGGTCCCAGCTGAAAGCTGGGAGGGTCCACCTCTTCCTGTGTGAGACAAGGGCTAAGATCCACCTGTGAGAGAGGACGTTGCATTCGCCTTCCTCTTTTTTCCATTTCTGTTTCTGTTTAAATTTGGCGGGTTGTTTTTTTTTTTTTATTGCATTAGGAAAAGGCCCAATAAAATCTTATCAAAAAGGGTACTCTGCAAAGGGTCAGCTAAGGGCAGTTCCTCCACCAGCCAGGCCACTGAACTCACCCACGTTGCTCATTTCGGGCACAGTAGCGTGGTAAGGGCCATGGAGGAAGACCGGCGGGTTGTCGTTGATGTCTTGGACTTTGATTATGAACTCAGACGGCGGCTCCAAAGGCCGGTTAGAGGCCCGGTCCACAGCCTGGGCCAGCAACGTATACTGGGATTTCTCCTCCCGGTCCAAGGTTTTGGTGACGTGGATGTTGCCCGTTTTCTCGTCGATCACGAAGACTGTGCCGGCCCCCTCTCCGGTCAAGACGTACTTGATGCGGCCCTCGCCCCGGTCCACATCGGTGTGAAGCTGTCAGAGGAAAAAGAGAATAGAGATATGGAACTCTGTAAAAAATTTTTTTTTTAATCTATAACCCTAACACAGCCTTTGCCAACCATGAGTTTTGGAGCGCAGCAGCCGAACGCAGCTGAGGCTAATGGGAGCCGAAGTAATCACAGAACTGTAGCGCTGGAAGGGACTCGGAGGGTCATCTAGTCTAACCCCCTGCAATGGGGGAATCTCAGCTAGATCTCAACATACACGACAGGTGGGCTGCTGGGAGTTGTAGTCCAAAACCTCCCAAGGGCACCAGGGCAGTGAACGCTGTCCTAATGTAAGGGATTGGGTGGTGGTAGTGGTGGAGCAGCGGCAATGAAACCGCTGGCGGTGATTGGCTGAACTGCCCTAATGCCAAGCATTCCCTGGCTACCATTGGTTGACTTGCTCCAATCAAAGTGACGGGCTGGGCAGGTGGCCAAGGTTACCAAAGCTACTTTCACACCTTGTGTTAAAAGTGCTATAATAAAACTTTATACCAGCCGTGGCTTTTCCCAAATAATCCTGTGTGCTATGTGCCAAGTGTTGTTTGGAAGACCTCTTATTCCTCTCCCAAGGCTAGTTTCCTAGAGTGGCGTAACCACCAATCTCTCTTCCTGGGAACTCTGGGAATTGTAGAACCTGTAACCGCCTACAATTCCCATAATTCCTTGGGGGAAGCCACGCCTGATTAAAATAGTATCATAACACTTTGACATTTTGGGGCGGAGGTGGCCTAACCAGCAAGACTGCTTTTTCATGTACAATAATCCAGTGTTCAAGGTACAATATATCTTGTGTGCCCACATCTTCAAGTGTGAGAATCTTGCCTTGCGCCAGCTCCCATCCCCTCTGCTGACCAACTTGCTCATTTATTACTGTACTGCGCTTTGAGGCTGATAAATGCAGCGTGTCTAAATTAGTTCACAGCTCAGGTGCCATTCGAGCCAGGGACATCTTGACTGAAAGCCAGTCAGAAATGAATATTATATTGTTTCTGCATCCTGTGTGCAATAAATGGCTTTCAGTCTGGTTGTCTGGGGAAATTTTTTTGTGTGTGTTTTTTTGTTTTTTTTAGACATAATTTTCCCTGAGTCCGTTCCAGGAAGCTATTGTGCAGATGAGAATTCTGAAAAAAAGGCCTGAGCGCTTGCTTCCAAACGCAAAACTCCGCAATATTGGGGTGGGCTGTTAGGGCCTAGGGAAGGAGGGTTCAGGAATGAGGGAGAGAGGAGAAGGGCTGAGGCAGGAGCCTGAAAGAAGGAATAATAATAATAATAATAATAATAATAATAATAATAATAATAATAATATTTTGTTTATACCCCGCCCTCCCCAGCCGAAACCGGGCTCAGAGTGGCTAACAACATAAAATCATGATCAATTAATTGAAATACCGTACATTCTAAAATCAATTCATTCTAAAATCAATTCAGAATAAAACCTCAAGGGGTTTAGCCAGGAGGAGTGGGGGACCTGTGGCCCTCCAAAGGTTGCCTGCGACTCCAGATCCCATCATCCCTGACCACTGGACATGCTGCCCAGGGCTGACGGAAGCTGGGTCCTAGCAAAATCTGCAGGGCTGCAGATTCCTCATTTGTGGCCACAAGTCTCTGTCAGAAGTTCAAAGCACTGCCGGAAATAGCTGTGGGAAATCTTATTGCATTCCCACCTTTTCTCCAAAGACCTCAAGGTAGCATCCATACGCCTCCCCCTCTCCATTCCCCCCCCCTCACAATAACCCTGTGGGATGGATTAGGCAGAGAGATAGCGACTGGCCCAAAGTGGACTTCATGGCTGAGGAGGAATTTGAACCCAGGTCCAGTGCTCTAACCACTACTCCACACTGTCTCCCTCGCCCGGCACTTTGGAAGCAGCATTGCAGGCTTCCAGTCAGCTGATCCGCTGTGCCCAGAAAACATCCTTTGGGCTGAGCCTCACTCTTACCTGCCCCACACATAAATGATGTAGGGCGGGTAGCCTGGTTGAACCGGCCTTGCAAACCATGTCACAAGGTCTGGTGGGCCCACCAATTAGGATCCACCCCTTTGCAGAAGTTAGGGTTGCACCCCCTAGGTCCAGGCTGCCCCTCTCTGCCTCCTCAGCCCTCCACGCCGGCCAGTGTGGGGCCCAGCCGTCCTGCAGCTCACCCTCCCAATGAGGACGGGCTCCGGTCCGGCGTACTCCTCGATGACGAAGAACTGGTTCCAGACCCAGCTGCGACGGGACCTCATCAGCGGGCGCTCCCAGCGCTGAGACACGTTCCCCCGCAGAGACCCGGCTCTGGCCCCCTGGCTGGGCGGCATGAGGCGGCCTGCACAGCCGCAGCCTCCCAACCAGGCCAGCAGGAGCTGGAGGAAACTGGCCATCGCTCAGCCCCGCAGTTCAGTCCTCCTGCAGCGGGGGGCGCTGCTCATCTGCGTTGCCCATAAGGAACAGCTACCCCATCTGGGTGGATCTGGGTGCATGGGGGGGTAAGGTGGGGGGAGAGAGAAGGGGAGAGAGGGGGGGGAGAAAGACTAGATATCATTGCCAGTCAGATGCATCCTTCCAATCACGTACATCGCCACCCACCCCTGTCCAGAATAAATGGCTGATTCATGCAGATAATCCATAAAGAACACCATTCCTCTTCCTTTCTCCGATTCCCATCCGATTGTGCCAGAGTTATTTATTTATTACGGCATTTGCAACCCCCTTCCCTTCCAAGGAGCCCATGGGGGTGTATTCACTTCTGTCTTAAGTGGGGGTCAGCCTAAGGCAGTTTTCCTGAACCTCAGCCCTCCAGATGTTTTTGGCCTACAACTCCCATGATCCCTAGCTAGCAGGACCAGTGGTCAGGCAGGATGGGAACTGTAGTCTCAAAACATCTGGAGGGCCGAGGTTGAGGAAGCCTGGCCTAAGGGGTGGCAACTAGCTCAAGGTCACCCCACAAGGTCAGATCCCCAGGTCTACCAACTGCAATCTATGGGTCAGAGATATCCAAAATCCTTCCTGGCCCTCCAAAGAGAACCAGACACCAGATCTACGAATGATAACTGATAACAGGTAGACCAGGAGACACATCCACACTTGGGCCCAAACACTGTACCCAAATGGCCTAGAGGTCTTCCCATTGCTAGCCCAAATCACTCCTAGCCTCCCGGATCCCTTCTCAAGGCATGCTGGCCAACATTACCCACAATCCTACAGGACTTTTGCAGAGAACTGCCCTCCTGCTGGATCTAACCAATGGGCTCCAAATTGGACTTTTGGGGGGGAACCGTCTGCCAGGGATTCGAACCCTGGTCTTCCAGGTCTTGGTCCAACACTGTAAGCCCTACACCACACTGGCTCTCTTCAGGGAAGGGCAAAGCCAAGCCAAGGGAGCCGCCTGGGCCACACTCTGCACGTCTTCAGGTGCACACACTGTGCTGGCACCGCCTGACGCAGCAAACGATCGAGTCGAGAGGCAATCTTTGGGCTCGCGCTCCACTGCAGATGCTGCTCGGCTGGCATGTGAGCTGAGAACCTTATCCCAGCATCCTCTGTTCTTATTGATTTGCAATATTTGCGGACCACCTCCTAGCTAGGATTCTCCGGGCGGTTTGAAACAGGACTGGGGAAACCTGTGGCCCTCTAGATTTTGTGGCTAGTATGGCTCACCATCAGGGAACGATGGGAACCGGAGTGCCACAACGTTCGGAAGGCCATGGGTTCCCCACCTCTCGGTTCACAGTAAACATTAAAATTATACGAAGGCAGGAATGGGAAATCTAAGAACAAAACCAGTATCACAGGTGCGTGTGGGTTCTTCGGCTCAACCCTTGGTTTCCTAAACTACTCCACAGGTGAAACTCAGCTGCTTCTGGTGGCGGAGAAGAGGAAAAGGCTCATTTAATGGAGACAGATTTACCTATTATGGCTACCAGAAGGCCAGTTCAGCACTGGGTAAATCGGTCCCACTGGAGGTTATACTACTTATGCGTGACGACGGAGACGTGTCGTGGCTCAGTGACAGAGCATTTGCTCTGCATGCAGACGGTTGCAGGTTCAATCCTAGCATCTCCAGGTAGGGAGAGGCTGAAACCCTAGAGAACGGCTGCCAGTCCGTGCAGGCAACACTGGCCTAGTTGCTCTGACTCAGATTAAGGCAGCTTCCTAGGTACCACTCCTTCTGACCTAGGATCTCAAACTCTGGGTCTTTCTGTGCCTAGGGTGTCAGCCTGCCACAAATCATAGACTTGTACAGTTGGAAGAAAAGTCCACTGCCTTCTGAGCGAGCTGAACTGTCAAACAGCACTTATTCCTAACGTTTAAGTCGCAATCTAGTCCTGCTGGCTTCAAGATCCCGGGTGACGTGAGCTGTACTCGTGAAAGTTACATCCACCGACAAGGGTGTCAGCCTAAACACAGTTCTGGGGTCTGACTCAGGAACGGGAAAGAATGAATGGGGAGGAAGAGGGCCGGCCCTATCATTGGGCGGAGAAAGGAGACCGCCTCAGGGGGCAGGTGCGGGGGGCCGCCACCTCTGCTTCCTAGAGCTTCCTTCCGAAGGCCCCCCTCCGTGTTGTTGGAGGACCAAGCTGTGCAGGCGACATGGGCCAGCCCAGCGTCCCTAAAATAGTCTGCTGCCTTCGGGTTGTCAGGATGATGCTATTTCCGTTGCTGGCACTGAAGTCAGCTCAGCTGGAGTGGGGAGGGGCGCCATCTTGTCCTTCGCCTCAGGCAGCAAAACGGCTTGGACCAGCCCTGAGGTCAACGAGGGCCCCTAGGTCAAGAAGAAGAGGCCGCAGCTCAGCGGGAGGACATCTGCTTTGCAGGCAGGCGGTCCCAGGTTCAAGTCCCGGTGTCTCCAGGTACAGGGAAAGAGTCTTGCCTGGAACCCTGAAGAACTGCTGCCCAGTTTGTTTAGGCAATACAGTGGTACCTCGGGTTAAGAACTCGTTCCGGTGGTCCGTTCTTAACCTGAAACTGTTCTTAACCTGAAGCATCACTTTAGCTAATGGGGCCTCCACTGCGCCGCCGCCGTGTGATTTCTGTTCTCATCCTGAAGCAAAGTTCTTAACCCGAGGTACTATTTCTGGGTTAGCGGAGTCTGTAACCTGAAGCATCTGTAACCTGAAGCGTCTGTAACCTGAGGTAGCACTGTAAGAGCCATTTTGTTGCTCGGGTCTGTGGGGTTTGCTCCTCTTTCCCGCCTGGGGAAGCTCCAGCCCCAAATCATTCACAAAGCACCCCACAAAGCCATCTTTCCAAATCCACAAAACCACTAGGGCCTCCTCGTAGAGTTCCTAGTTGCCCACCATCCAGAGTTTACCATCCACACGTGTACCCCCGACCATCTGGGCATCTCCAAGCTCCTTTTTTTCCTCCATGCACCCACCCCTTTCCCCTTCCTCCTCTCCCCACACGTCCCTCTTTAAACCACCCATCCATCTCCTGCAGCACCCGCCCACTATTCATCCATCCGTCCACAGAGATCGTCAAATATGCCCATCGCTCCATCCACCTGCCCATCACCAACCTGTCCAAAGACAGCACTTAACTATTCATCTAAGCCATCTGCCCGTCCATCCATCCATCCGTGCAGATTATTTATCTATGCATCCGCCTGTGCCTCCCTCTCTCCTTCCTTCCCTGCATCTTCTCTCCCTCTTGTTCTCACTCCCTGCCCCCCCCCCACAACACACACACTCCTTGTGTCTCTGTTCTACATTCCCCTCAGGTCTTGCTCCCCAGCCTGCCCTGCAGACGAGAGAGGACAGATGATGGATGGAGCGAGAAATGGACAGACGGAGAGATAAACGCAGTTGCAAGGAAGGGCAGAACGAGACAGAGATACCGCCTCGTCCTGTTTTGTGTACGGATATATATATGCGTACACTCTGGGGTTAATTCGTTGTCGTCCCCCGACAACCTACCTAGTGGGATCTAGCAGCGGAAACGGGCAAGAGGAGCCAGGGGCCAGAAAAACTTGATGGCTCCTTGGCAAAATATTTCGGCCACGTTTGCCTCTGTGCTTAAAGCCTCTGCCATCATTGACTTGGGTCACCGAGGAAGGCCTGAGGCCTTGTCCTCTTTCTTCTAGGACCCTTGACCACGCTAGGGAATAATAGCGGGGCAGTTGGGGTACCCTCTTCACTTAACCCTCTGCAATATTTTGCCTGGCTACCTGCCTGCCTTCCCAGTCCTTGGTTTCGAGAGGGTGGGGGACAGATGCCAGGACCCAGAGCTGCCTAGAAGGAGCATCCTCTGACCTGGACGCCCTCATCCTCAGCCCTCGACATGGGAAGACTCTCTGACCTCAGGAGCCTGCGGCAGTCGCACGCTCCCGCAGGAAGCGGTGAGGAGGGCCACAGACTTGGACGGCTTTCAAAGAGGATGGGGCAAATCCGTGGGAGGATTCAGCCATCGACAGCTACGAGCCATAGCGGCTGTCTTCTGCAGCATGCTTTTGGGAATCGCAGGAGGTGGAGAGTGTTTTGGTGCTCAAATCCTGCCTCTGGGTTCCCCCCCGGGGCATCTGGTTGGCCACTGTGAGATCAGGATGCTGGACTAGACGGGCCACTGGCCTGATCCAGCAAGGTCTTCTTATGCTCTTAAGGGAGATGCACTCTGCATATGCTCTGGGGAGCCCTGGTTTTGCTCTTGCTTCATAGCCTCAAGGGGTAAGCTCTGCCATTGGCAACTAGTGCAAGGGCTGAGCTCCACCACAGACCCCTCCTTCCTTCCTTCCTTCCTTCCTTCCTTCCTTCCTTCCTTCCTTCCTTCCTTCCTTCCTCAGTTTTTGTTGCTCCTTCTTCCACAACCTAGGAGCTTCCAGACTGTCACTGCTTTTGAGCTGGATTCAACCACATACCAGCAAATTTAGGCTGCATGGTTAAAGTTGACTTGGCCCTCTTGTACTCAAAACCCTGTATATATATCCTGCCGTGCGCTGCCCTGAGATCTTCGGATGAAGGGCAGAATACAAATTTAACCAAGAAAGAAATAAGAAACCCACTTTCCCCAAAAGATCCAACTTTTCACGACACGGAAAGTGCGGGGGTAACACTGGCTTTGGCGCCACATCATCTAACCTCCCCGAAAACGAACTGGGGCGAACGCTCACTAAATGGCCAAGGTTGCCTCGCTTCCCTGTGAACTAATCAGGACGAAATGCGCAATGCACAGGTCATCTGGAAGCGCCCCAGGTCTCCCCACCTCTTTGTATTTCTATCGCTCAGCCGGCATCTGCATTCTCTGCCTTTCTCACAGTTTTCCCCCTCCTCTCTCTCGCCTTCCTTGTTAGCGGTTTCCCTCTGAGGCCTTCGTTCAACCCAATTAACCTGCGGAGCAGTTGGGCCCAACTGCGGCCTGACCTGCTTTAACCTTTCGAGCGTGATCCAGAAATGCAGTTAATAAATTTTTTCTTTCTTTTTTTAAACACCCCCGCCTTGCCCTCCAGTGGCGCCCTCTGTTGAAACTGGCACGAAG